GTACCTGAAAATCAGCTGTGAATTGTAACATACAAAACTCAATAAAACAAATATATTATTTAGTTTCAAATGCTTTTATTTGTTTTAATTTGTTTTTATGAATATGGGACAATATTTTCTGAAAGCAAAAATTTTTTCAATGAAAATTGAATTTTTAATACAATTATTTCTTATTTCTTTAATTTTAAAAAGATTTTTAAAAAAATTTTAAATTGAATTTTTAAAAATATTTTAACATTAGTTAAAAGCAACATCAACCTTTCAAAATTTTATTAAAATCAGTTTTGAAAAAATGATAATTGATTTTTAAAAGAATATCAAAGTCAGATTTTAATCTTTTTTATCAAATCGAAAAAATGATTGAAAATGATTGATTATCTGTCCTTTTTTTTTACCAAAAAAACAATATTTTTTAACGAAAATTTCAGGCGACGTGCTAGGAACGATTAAAAAATGTAAAAAAATACCCCAAAAATACTTTGATCTTTCCTCTTTAATAATAATATGAACATTAGACGATAAAATTTTGTTTTCGTCAAGTTCGGATTTTTTTTCATCATGCTATGCTCTTTTTGTTTACATTTTCGTGGGTGAGTTGTCCCCTTTCATTCTCACGATGTGTCTTAATCGTGTTTTCAAATTGATTTTATTAAAAAACAATTTTGTTTTTCCCATTTTCGGCGCCGTTAGAACCATCACAAGGTAATTTTATGTAGTCCTGTGAAGTTTTGTTGAAATCAGCTAAAAATGTAGGAAATTCGATCCAATATATAAACGTTACAGACACACACACACACAATCTGCGTTTTATAGTAAGATTTTATAAAGTTTGAATCAATTGGCAATTAGCTGATGTTTTGCCAACCATTTCAATAAACAATATAATCAATAAATAGTGTAAATAAACAATCTGATAAATAGTGTTTATTATATTTGTTGTAAATTCTCAAGAACAAAAAATGTATAAATTCACTTTCATATGTTTAGGTTTTCTTATAATTCTAATAATTGCTATTTAAAACAATAAAGATTGCCATGGAGTGAAGGTAGTTAAAATAATAGTGGTGTCAATAGAAAAACTGTGACATTCCATTGGGTGGGGCATGAAGGTCCAAGTTTGCCTACATGTATATAAAGGGTGCTGAAAAGCTCTTGACCCAACTAAGAAGCCTTTCTCTACCAAAAATCTGATGTTTGGTCAAATGTTGACATTTTGATAAATGGGTTACACCAAGAACTATTTTAGTACCTTCTTATGTGTATGTATGTATGTATGTATGTATGAGGGTAAGTAAAAATAATTATCTGCACTTTTGCCATAACATATCTTTAGGCCATGTAACAGCAGCAAGAAAATTGGCACAATCAACTTTTATCACATGATCACAATAGTACCAACTATAAGCACACATTAGCAGAAGGCATTGTAACAAACCTGAAGATATGTCATGGCAAAAGTGCAGGTAATTTTTTACTTATCCTCGTACATCAACAGACTGAGGATTGCTCCAAAAGTAATGACTCTTGTTTTATTGTACTGGCCCAAACCATCAGAAGCAGAGAATAAACCTCCCTGTCAGTAACCATAATTTTTCTTTACCTTGTTACAGAGAGCAGCTTAGAAGTTTAACAAAACTAGCATCTAATATGTAAGTGCTTAAGTAGCATAAGTGTATCATTGAATTTCTCTATATGGTAAAAAGAAAATTTATATTCTTTGACATTCATTCATCAGTGCTTGCTGAACCTTTACAAAAATAAAACCATAGATGTGAGCACAGTTAGGCAGTGGGTAATGATTTTAGCATCATTGCTGTGAAAAAGTAAGTTGCTAGTACAGATGTTTTACAAGTATAACATGCAGACTCTTGTTCATTGTTGGCAAAAATGTATAGCCAATAGTGGTGGCTTTATGAAAAAAATAGTGTTTTGTAGTTGAAAACTTGCTCTATCCAATGGTTTTATTGTATCTGTTGTTGTTTCTGTGGAAATAAGAGACATTACATTCAGAGAGTAATTAGAGTGTGTGCATGTATGTGTGCATGATATTCAGACATTTAGAGAATTATGAACCAAATGTTGTAAGGGTTTTTATTGCTACCATTTCTGTATCTGTTCTGGTTCAGATGATAAATGCAGTAATGATAAATAATTTTATTTATTTTCACTGATCTAATTCTATAAACTTCTGGATAGTACTTTGCACATTGTTTTGCAGTGACTAATGGAAAATAATTATTTTGTTTAAATGATTGTGAATAAAAAGATATTTTTCCATGGAAGTGAATGTTTTTATTTATTTATGCTGTAAAAAATGTTGGCATTTTCTGTTAAATTTTAGCCATTATTAGATTTTTATATATAAGTCTTTATATGCTTTCTAATTTTTTATTGTTGTATACTACTCTTTCATGGAGTCTATCTTTTTTTTTTCTTTTTTTTCTTTTTTTTCATTTTTACCTCAAGAGTCCAGCATTGTTATAACAAAGACGCTAACACCTGTAAGTTACTAACTCTAGTACAGCAAAAAATTGCATAACATCTGCCCTCTTTCTACCCACTCTTTTTTTCATGCCTCACTCTTTAAACAATTTAATTACAGCAGATATTTTGCTTGTATCAAGAAATTAGTAACCTTTGTTGAGCAATTGAATTGTTTTGGAGAATGAAAACTATAAGATTGGTATTATGTCATTTAGGCAATTAGGTGAATGAAACCTTGGATACCTAAAATTATATTTGTGTTTACTTTAGGTTTGGATATCTTACAAGCAACCACTACCTTTCCACTTTTAATTGCTCTATGGCTGATTCATTCAGATTATATTTCCTTTCTTCTAAGTCTTTATTTCTTCATAAAGTACTGAGATCATCTGAAAGTGCTATATTATTTATATCACTCAATATAGCAGTTACCAAAATTTGCATGTTAGTCTAACACCATATTTTATTCAATTTGAATCTAGTGTTGTAAATTCTCTATCTAGTACCAACCTAAAACAATGTCTTTTTGGGGTTCTTTTTTTGGTTTGTTTTTAATCGTTTCACCTCAAGCAAGGCAATAAATCCACTAAGATGTAAGAGGGTTTTATGAAAAAAAGAAAACATTAAGGAGAGAGCACAATAAAAGAACAGGAATTAAGGAAACAGTAGATATCAATTTACGTTGCATTTAAATTTTTGAAAACCAAAGTTGACTGGGAAGCCGGAAGAGAATTCCACAAGCAGGAAGTCCAAGAGAAGAAACTATTAGCATAGAACTTACAGTTGCATCTAGCCATCTAAGCTGTAAAATGATGAGACCTTGCCACCAGAATAAAACTGCGCTTAAATTCATAAAGTCTAGGTATCAAAAAGAAAAGCTCATAAGAACAATTACCATGAAAATATTTATAAAAAAGGTACAAGGAAACTACATTATGGTGTTAGGGAAGGGACTAAAATCGAAATACCAGGTCAAGGCCAATAACAGTGCAGATTCTTCATTGTATTCTATCAAGAATCTCTAAATACATAGCAGATTTACCAGAATAGATGTGACAGCAATATTCAAAGCGGGAATGAATGATAGACTTATAAATTTGTAAGCTAGATTCTGGCAAGAAAAAATGTCTAGCACAACATAGTGAACCAACTTTCTGTTATGGTCCAATATCCTCGCACTACAGTTATGGTCCAAGATTAGAACCAAGGAAGAACAACACGAACACAAGAGTAGAATAACAAAGATATATTACAACAGAAATATAGTACAAGAAGTTGAAGTTGTTAGTAATGACTGTCCGTCTGGTTTTGAGTGAACTGATATTGTCTCAACTCATTACACCATTCATTCATTATACCTCTTGAGAGGTACAGTATTTATAGTGTCAGGAAGAGTCCATTATCATTATAGGTAAGTTCCCATAACTTTCCTAGCAGAAGACCAAGCAATTGATTCAATATAATCTTTCCATATAATGTCAGTGGAAAATATTAGCCCAAGAAGTCACAAGAAATCACTCTGCTGGATGTTAACATCAACCATGTTGATGGAAGCCAAAAAAGACTATTTTGAAAAATTTCAGTCTTCATTGGATACCCTATTAATTCAGTCTTATTGCAGAGTTGGCTTCATCTAACAAATATTAAGTTGTGACATTCTTTGCAAATATTCTGAACTTCACTTAAAAGGATGTTAAGATTTTAAAGTTGTTTTGATTTTTCTGGTATATCTTGTAAAATTTCTCAGGCAATTGCTTTTTCTATAGGATCTAAATGGTAATGATAATATTAACTGTTTCCTTATAAGGAAACATTCAGCATTCATTAACCAAACAGCCAGTAATATTTACAGTTGAAATTTGTAAAATCTTTCTATTAAAACAGTTTTTCAGGAAAATGTTTCTTACGTCCACTAACTGCTATTGCTCTTTTCAATACTGATTGGAGCTGCCTTCCTAACCTTTTGTTTGAAGTAGTGTGGAACATCAACATCATGATTGTCATCATTCTCTTTTCAAGTTACATGTGTTATTCACTTTAATTGTTGAAAGTCCTGAAGAGAATTAGTTCTTTATTTGTGATTCTGAAGTGCCAGTCCGCATAGTTCAAAGAAGGATGGTCCTCACTAAAACCTACAGGCTTCATTCATTAACTCTGAGAAAATGGTTGTACATAGCTAACAGTTTTGATAGTTCTGAATGAGTTTTGGTACCATGCATGACATCCATATGAAAGTCTCAATTTGATGAGGCTATTTAAGAACATAACTTGAGTTTTTTAGGTTAATGTTTTGGCTTTGTAGCAGTTTGTGATGTTAGGTAAAACTACCTCTAGCTTCCTTATCCCCTTTACTAAATTTATCCTTATCACTATCCTAAATGATTATTGTAAATTATATTTCTGAAGCAAACTCTTAGATTTTTTTTTTTTTTCTCTACAGGAGCTAAATGATTGTAGTGACAGTGAAGACTACTTCCATGATGCAGGAGGATACTGGTGGTTGGAAGTGGGCCGTGATGGTTGCGGCCTTCTTTGTCCAATTTATCGTTTGTGGGATTACATACAGCATGGGTATTTTCCATGTGGTCTTCCGGAACATTTTTGCAGGAAGTCAGTTTGACACATCTTGGGTCGCTGCACTTCTTTTCCATGTAACTGCTATCTCAAGTAAGTAATTTTTTTAAAATTATATTTCTTACTATTTTTTCATATAAAATGCTAATTTTTGTAATCATGAATGAAAATATTAACAAATTAATGGTTGACAATTAACAATAATAAAATAAAAAATAATAACAAAAAAGCAATAAACAATACGGTATGCAGCAATTGGAGAATACAATCAAAGGTAAGTTGAAATTGTTATATTTTACTTTTAGAGCCATGGGAAGCCATCACAGCAAAGCAAAACTCATTTGCCCTATTTAAGAAATGCATATCTCTTATTGGGACCTTTTTAAAGCCTATAGCTATAATAATAAGAAATAATGTTGGATTAAAAAATCCATTGATTAAAAATTACTTTACACTATTTATTGTCCTCATCTTTGTTGTTATCACCCTCATCTATGTTATGATTCTCACAATAGTCCAAATATAAATAGTGCAAATAACAATAACTACTCATCCCATAAATCCAGACATAAAAAATGATTTTGTTTACATTTAGTGTAGCAAACTAAAGTTTGCAGTTATAGACTTCAAAATGTCCCAGTGAAATATGTGCATTACTTTGAGCTTTGCTGTGAAAGTACACATGGTTTGAAAGTAATTTTTTGGATTACAAAGGGAATATAGGTTTGATTTTATTTTCTGCTGTAAAATTTTCTGTAACCCAATTGGTAGAACAGTTGATTCTGTTAACCAGACATCCTGAGTGAAAAAGAATGTGAATTTAAGTCTTTTCACCAAGAACTTATTCTTTATTTCTCATCAGCACTGTTCACTGATGGCAACAGACTGACAATCTGATTAATTGAAATGAAAAACAATTAAAATTAAGATGAAAGAAATATAATTAAAAATTTAATGGTAGTTGACATTATTAAAATTTAAAATTAATACGAAAATAAACAGAAGCGCCATTAACAGCATGCTATTTTGTAATTATGTAGATTACTCTTAATTCTCATCTAAATAAAAACCTAGAGCAGCAGTTCTTAAGCGGGGGGGGGGGAATTCTCCCTTATCTTTTACTTTTTTTTGTTTTTTATTTAAAGAATTTGGAGCCCATCCTGAGTTTAAAATAAAACTCCACTATAAAAATAATCCATGTAAATTTATATGTACTAATATGGAAAAGAACAAAGATTTTCAGTACTGAGTAATATATGCATATTATTTGGAATACATCTTTTGAGTTGGACAATCTTGGAAGAGGGTAATGGTATTCTGACATATGGTGAAAAGAGTGTATTGGGCAAAAAAGGTTGAAAATCACTTTCCTAGGGGAATAAAAGCAAGATAAAAGTGAATTGCCTTCTTTCAATATGTGCCTTAAAAATGCTAATATTGAACAAATTATGACTTTAAAAATGATCTTATAATTCTGCTTGTTCCTCCCTTAGTTAGCACAACTTTTACATCCTGCCAATACCTCATAAATAATGGACTATTCTGTTTTGATTGCATGGAAAGACGGAAAAAAATATATCAAGGATGCTATTTGGTTTCAGTAAGAAGATGAAAGAATGAAAGAAAGAAGAGTAGAAGTGTTTAACATCTGTTTCCGTGAAATGGAAAAAGTTGTCTATTTCAAATCTTTTCATTTGTATTTCTTAAAGTAATAACCAGCATTCATATTTATGATTGTTATTGCAACATTTTGTTAAAGTTATTAAGCTCAAATATATAATGATGCAATAGGGGAATTTCTACAGATATTTTATTGTCATAGAACTTATCATGAGCTTATTCAATCATTAAGAATTAAGATTCATCAGAAAATTCAAATAGAAAAACCATGAAATTTTCAGATTTTTCTCATATTAATAAATTTATAACTTCTAAAAGTTTACCAGTTTCAGTTGTTTGTGTTTCTAGTCAGAAAAGTATTAGGGGATGCTGAAAAGTTATTCAATCAATCCACTTTCCAAAATTTGATGAAAAATTAGAATTTTCTTTTTAATCCCTTCTTAATCAAGCCAAGAACTTCTTCACCATTCCTCATAGTTATTGACTATTTTCTTTTCTGAAAAAAAATCTTACTTGGAGATTCTTCTATATTGTTTAAGTAATAGCACTTTTGATCTTATATTTTTACAGGTGTCCTTTTCCGATTTGTGACATCCAAATTTGGATGTCGGATTAGTGTAATATTGGGTGGTATATTGTCAACTGCTGGTCTTGCACTGGGAGTTTGTGTCACAGAACTTTATGAAGTCTACCTTTGTATGGGTGTACTCACAGGTAAGTTTCAGAACTTTGAATTTCTAATTTTATTAATAGAATTTATAGAAAATAAAGTTTCCTAATACATCCACTTAAATATTGTACAGTCTTTACTTTTGATGTCAATACAATAATACTAATAAATTTGGATGTAGATGAACTTTTATTTAAAAAAATGTATAATGGTTAATTTCTGTCTATTCTTTTAATCAGTTACATAAGTTTTTTTTATTTTAATAAAATTAAATGAACTGTCGAATTAGGTTTAATTCAGGATTGTCCCATGGGACAATAGTCTAGTGGATTAAAATATTGATTCATGAATTTGGGCATCCTGGGTCAGATGATAAACTACATCCATGTCCTAGGTAAGATGATAAACTACATCCAACAGCAAGGCCTTTGATCAGGAGGTTTTAAGGAGTGTGGAACCACCTCTTAATTGCTGGTGTTCCCAGGTCCACCCTGACCTGGGTCCCAGCTATGGGCAAATCGTTAACACCCAAACATATAAAAGTAAGTTTTAATACCAGAAATACTTTATAAAAAAAAAAAACATTACCAGCTATAGATTTCTTGAAGGAAAAATATTCTCAGAAATAGATTTTTGAAGAAAAACATTACCAGCAATACGTTTTTGAAAAAAAAAATATTACCAGCAATAAAAAATTTTCTTGGCATTAAATGACTCGTTGAGGTTGATATGCCGTAAAACAAACCAATCATGAATTTGGAACATAGTCATTGTTTCATTCCCTAGGCAAGCTTTGACTCATTTTCCACAACCTGCAATAACTGAGCAGTACTAAATAAGAACTAGTCAAGACATCCCTAGACATAGACAGTGGAACAAAAACAAACTAATCCCATAAATTAAATAAATGGTTCAGTTCAAAATTCTCTGAAGTTTACCTAGATTAAAAGTACCTGATGAAAGCCAGATGTTACAACAGCTGAAATGTCATGACAAAGATGAGGATAATAGTCTGAGTGTAAATAATGTAAATAAAATCACATTAACTTTACATTTTTATATATATTTTTTATTTTTTAGTGCTTATCATGCATGATACATTAGATAATTCAAGAACTTCCTGTTCTGCATCATATTTATATCTTTAGAGACACCTAGTAAAGATCAAACTCACTATTGATGACCTGTTAGACTAATTTGCTGACCATTGCTCAAAAGTAGTCTCACAATGTTTATACTTTTTTTATAAAAGTTATCAAAGAAAAAACACCAGAAACAAAAAATGTAAATATTAACTGTTAGAAAAATATCCTGCATATTTACATATACACAAAAGTATGTAAGATGTGAACATTTACACTTAAAATCATCAAGAGTTGAAATTTCTGGGACACCCAATGAGGAAAGAGAACTCGAAGAATCTGACACTTAAAGGACATATTGAAGGCAAGAAGAGCAGAAGGGAACAAGAAGTAACCTACTGAACAAGTTTGTATAAATGTATGACAGAACAAGGAGTGAGAGTGATAGTAAAAAGACAAACATTACTAAGACTTACAAAGAATAGAAAGGTGTAGAGAGCCATGATTGCCTACATCCAGAAGAGACAAGGTATATAAAAGAAGTAGTATCATATAAATTGCATAAAATTATCTTTAGTTTTTTTTTTTTTTGTTTTTTTTTTTCTCATTTATTGCTTTTCACCAACTCAGACCATTGTTCTTAAACAAAAAAGAAAATGTAATAGTGTTAAATATAATCTCAACTTGATGTTTTTAATCAGTAGAATCAACAGTAATGTTCTGTGAAGACCAATGTATGCATTATCTCAAACCAGAATAATTCTTTATTTACATGTAATTCTACTTTTCTTATTCCTTTGAGATCTGTTACTTATTTCTCTCTCATGATCAATGCTTTATGTGTCAACTGATGCTCACTTTGAAAAGCATGTTGCTATTAAAAAAATAATATTAGCCTTTAATTTCATGCTCATATTGTTTACTGGAATACAAGAAATACTTGAAAACATTATAATCAGTGTATATAAATTCTAATGTATACATGTATTGAGTAGTGATAAACTGATGCAAATTTTAAAAATAACTTATATATGCACAGTATGAGTTTAAAAAGATTCATTCCATTGAATAACACAAATAAAATGACTTAGAAATATACAGAGAAAGTGGGTTATTATAATCATGAAAAATGTTATCAAAATAATTTGGTCTCCAAATTGGTCTCCGTATTATGATCCATTTTCAGGTATTTTTATAATGTAAAGTTGTTTATAATGATGAATTTATAACAAATCTCCATGGATCACATCTAAGGATATTTTGTCTAGTTCTTATTTTGAGCTGCTCATCTTCCTCTGTGCAGTGTTAAAAGATATTCTTGTTACTATAAAAGTTGGTGTAATAGGCATATGAGTAATAATAAAAATTGAAGTAGATTTGAATTTTAATTCTTGTATTTATAATACCTTTAGAATTGAGTAACCTCTTCATTTGATTGTCTCTCTTTAATACACTTGAAATTGAGCATTAGTTAAGTTGCCTCTAGGTACAGCTGATACCTGTATATAAGAATCTTTTGAAACTTTTCACAAAACAAGGCATTGTCATTGAACATAAAGAAACATGACTTTGACCTTTTTATAATATAAATATTACAAAGATTCAGATATGTACCTTGCTCTATGTTTAAATTTATATAAATTTAAAAATTTAATTTAGAGTCTATATATATTGTTCGTAGTTTAGAAATTAATATTGTAATATTTATTTTAAAAATTTACTAAATATTTAAAATTTTATTTACACTATTTACATTGTTGGACTGTTGTCCTCATCTTTGTTGCCATATTCACAATGTTTCAGCCGTTGTATGTAAAACTTTTGAAATATCTAAGGAAAATTCAAACATTTCTAACAAAAGGTTTCCATTTATAATTTTATAGAAAATAAACATAATTTCTTACTTTCTGTCTGACCTGAGATGAAGAGTTATCATTATTTACATTATTTAAATTTGAACTATTACCCTCATCTTTGTTATAATCACATTACATCCATTGTATGCTCCTGCATTCTTCAGGTGTTTGTTGATCCATGTAACCTTCAGGGATTTTCATCTGAAGGCTTTATTTAATCTATGGGTACAGATTGTTCTTGTTCCACTATCTTTGTCTAGGGATATCTCGTTTTGTTCTTATTTAGTACTGCACAATTATTGCTCATCCTATTTCCATTTAGTCTGTCTTTACTACCTGGCTTAGGGATTGAACTCACAATTTCTATGTCACCAAATTCATGTACCAATGCTTTAATCCACTAGGTTATTATTCCATAGGACAATAATCTAGTGGATTAAAGACATGGACAGTGGAATGAGAACAGTCTGCCCCCATATATTAAATAATGAGTTAAGTCTGAAATTCCCTGAATGTTACTCAGATTAACAAACACCTGAAAAAGGCCAGAAGGCATAGCAGTTGAAACATGATAACAATAAAGATGAGGACAATAGTCCAAATGTAAATAATAATTTCTGAACTCTCACAGATTACTCTGCCATTCTTTACAGAATATTTGCCAAACTATCAAAAGTTACATTGTTATCTCCAAAGTCACTGCCCCTGATCACCATTGCAGTAAATTTAATTCCAAAGATTCTTGGTATATTAACATTTAAAAAAAACACACACAGACATACATGCAATTTTTGTTTGTTCTATTGAGATAAAAGAATGTAAATATTTGACAGTTTCTGAAAATCTGTTTAGTAGATGTCAGAAATTGTTGAATGTTTCAATGTATTTGTTTTGATATTTTACTTGACCATAACCAAATTCAGGCTGACTTGAAATTATAAATACATGAATAATTTAAAATAATCTTAACGGAGTAGACACACATTTTTTTGTTCAAATTATTAATATTTTTTTGCCTGTCAGTCGTAATTATCTGTACTTGTTTAAAATAATTTTTTTTATTAATTTCCAATGTGATTTCTATTAATGAAAATTGTTTCTTGAATAGTTTAAAATAATTATGACCAAACAGTAAAAATGATAAATAATTTTTTTAAAATCATCCACTGATCTATATTTCCTTATCCATATATGAAAACTGCAATGTGTATGCACATATGTGTAACAGTTTTTATAATGTGCACAGATAATACACTCTTAGCAGAAATGATGATTGATAAGCAAATAATCTTTATTTTGTAATTTAAGATGACTCTACAGAAGTTGTTATAATTCTCCTAAACAAATTTCTTTGTTTATATTATAAAAGTATATCTAAGGTTTCAAATACAGCTTACTATAAAAATTGTAGTCAGATAAAAACTATAAACTCTGTTATTGCTAAATTCTGGTTTTGTATTCAGTCTCATAACATCATTTAGAAAGTGTGATTTATTTTTACAACATGTAAACATAGAAATTTAGAATTAAAAAAAAAATAATAAGAGTCTATTGAACAAATTTCTTAATTGCAGCAAAAGAGTATTGGAAAAATCATTGTTAAACCAAAAACACATCAGAAATTATTAAAAATTATAACAAATATTAGAATGTTTTGATCAGCCACATTCATATCATCCTTGACTTTTATTAGATTATTTATTTACACTTAAAAATAAACTAATTCTCTCTCTCTCTTTCTCTCTCTCTCTATATATATAATTTAAAAAAACAATCGAAGCTTAGCTAACAAAAATAATTTCTGTATGAATTTCTGTACAATAGCCTAGTAGATTAAAGCATTCGTTTTTCTGAATTTGGTGACATAGCAATTGTGAGTTCAACCCCTGGGCCAGGCAGTGTGTACTTAGACTTGGTAGAAATGAATGTGCAATAACTGAGCAGTACTAAAAGTAAGAATTAGATGAGATATCTCTAGATATGAGCAGTGGAACAAGAACAGTCTACCTCCATAGATTAAATAAAGGGTTCAGTTCAGGATTCTCTGTAGGTTACCAAGATACACCTAATGAAGGGCAGAGGCCACAACAACCAAAACATAATAAC